GAATGAGGGTAAACAAGCCCGATACAGTGCTGTATCAATCTATCCCCAAGCCTTTGTCATCTCCTCACTGATGTATGTAGCGCGTGGCCGATCTCATGAAATTTTGTCCAAAATTCGATTAGGAATGACTGCCTAGGTGGGGTTGTGATACTGGTCAGCATTCGACACCGTCCTATAATATTTCGGACTCAGCACGATGTCGGCTTTTGAATGCACTTCCTTTCGACCTCGTGCAGACTCACCTTGGGTGAAAAATTGCTACTTAATTAACGTGAATTTTTCACATTGGTTTTCAGTGATCTTATAAATTCAAGTGTATTTTATGGAAAATATGCACAAACATATGCTATCTACAACCCGATTGGTAGAAAATCACGTTGTCTTCACGTGGCATAGCCGACGAAAGTGTACATTTGGGTTTTGAAGAAGTTTTCCAATTTCCGAATCATTTTGAACCAGATCAGTCGTTGTACTAAAGTTTAGCAATTTTAGTCTACAAGTGCACGCTTTCCGCGTAAGAAAAATCACATATTCCTCTATGCCTTTAGGAAGATATCATACGGAGTTTATAAATTTTTGCAATTGGTGCAATCTCACTTGTACATTTCATGAGGAACATTGGAAAACGGATTTGTGCGATACTGTATGTACGGACATCACACGGTCTTGAAAATCTCATTATTGTAGACTTTTATAACCAAAAGACAGCCCTCCTCATGGGAATAAAATGTGAATACAATGTGATTTTCTACTAAACGAATAAAAGAAGGCATATTTCTGTGCTTGTTTCTATAAAATATATCTGAATTTATAAAGCCATCGAAAGTCACTGCAAAAAGTGCATTCTACTTAGGTAGTCGTTTTTTAGCACGTACGGTTTATACAGGAGTGATTAAAAAGGAGTGATTAAAAAGCTGACATTCTGGCGAGTCCGAAATATTGTCATATTATGCCGGATAAGCAAATACATGCGAGATACACTTCAAGAAAGTGATGTGCTTTACATGCCAGAAAAACGGAACCGAATTTCATGATACATCTTATATTCATGGACCTATCCAGACAACAGTTACTAACATACGCGTCTCGTTTAGATAGAAACTCGGGTTTATGCTAGGAAGACGAGTAGCGTTAACCGAGTTACCCCCGTTTTCTCTTACAATCAGAGTAGATGGGTAGACTTTGTTTCCCTAAGGTTAAGGATTTAAACCACATATTTTGCGCAGCATGTCTGACACCAACTCTGTGAGAAACATGTACATGCTGCTAGTTTGGCGACTAGACTTCTCAGTATATCAACTGCACTGAAAATAGATGACAAGTTCTGGTGCACTAAAATGCGACATATTGATGTGCGAGTTCAGAAATATCTACGAAAATTACGTAAGACTGCTTTCAAGAAGACTCTGAAGGGACACGTCTAATGTCCAGATCGACTGTAAAATGTCATGTTGACAACCATTTATATGATGTTATTGCAAAATAAGACAACTCATAGTATGCGTACATGTTTCGAAACGCCATTCCGACCGTCGCCAACGACGATGTTCACCGCGTACACCCCAGAAGGGTGAGCGGATGACAGTAATTTGCACGTTACGTAGTTTTAGTGACAGCAGACTTGCACTGCATCTGCCGCATTCTCTCTCCTCCCTCACCAACCTGGGTCGGCGGTAAGATAATCACGAGAACCGGAGGTAGACTCGGTCGCGGCGGCCAGCAAAGTCAGACAGTCCGCCTACATGTCACACACGGCCTGCTCCCCGAACAGTTGGACCAGGTTCTTACAGTTGAGTGAGAATGCCACAGAGACCACATTCAAAAGGAGCCATTGAACTTGATTCTCCGTCCTGAAAAGACTGCATTACCCAGTCAGTTGACAGCCTTCCATAACTGTTAGAGCGTCTTGATAGTTTAAAGTCACGGCAGTTTTTTTAGTCAGGAATACCCTGAAGTATGGTGAAGATGGATTTCCCAGAGTCGATCTTCCATCCTCTTCCCTCTCCCACGCACCAGCCTACTGTCCGATCCGGTCAGCCATCTGGAGACGGGATTGGGAGCAAGTGGTTGGTGCGGCGCGGGTCTGCGCCCAGGCGTGCCATTTTACCCCCACTGTGTGGCATTTGATATGGGATACGCAGACTCTGCGCTGCCCGATTAACACATGCCGTACCTCGGTCTGGCCCGCGTTTTGATCCAACGCCTTTATATTTCGAAACTACTAGCCGTCTTGGTCATCGAGCATCCGAGAACCGTTCAAACCCTTCCCAAGCATGCGCTGCGAGATAAAACACCTCCTCGAAAGGCACGATTCAAAGGCCCACGTCATGAAACCCTCAAATTTCATCGATTTGTAGAGCCCGTCTCGGTTCACGGTGTCCAAAAAAGTTGGGACAGTAACATCAACCGGTACTAATAAACAGCAGCTTGTGGGACTCGATTTCAAATCGGTCTCCGAAATAACCCTTATTTCTTTTAGTGTTTTAACTTTGCGCTTTATAAAGATAGACTACGCTTTTAAAGAGGAAAGGTATAATATTTAGAGTCTGGGGCAATGTGGTAACTTCGGTCTACCTAAAATTCATTGACAGGTGAGCAGGACGATGCCCATTGTGCGCCGCACAGCGTGTTTGGCGCAGGACGATGACTTGTGCATGAACTAGCTTTTTATCGATAGCAGACTTGCGCAGCACCTACCGCACTCTCTCCCTCCTCCCTCGGCAACCTGAATCGGTGGCAAGATGGTCAAGCGGGCCGGAGGTAGACTCTGTCGCGGTGGCTATCAAAATCAGACAGCCCGTCTACGTGTCACACGCGGCCTGGTCACCGAACAGTTGGACCGGGCTCTCACAGTTGAGTGAGAATGCCACGTAGACGACGTTCAAAAGGAACTATTGACCTTGACTCTTCGTCCTGAGAGGACCGAGTTAGCCAGAGTCGATCTCCCAGTCTCTTCCCTCTCTTATGCACCAGTCTACTGTCCGAGTTGATCAGTCATCCGGAGATTGGATTGGGCGAAAGTGGCTGGCACGGCGTGAGCCTGTGCCTAGACGTGCCACGCCACTCTCAATGTGTGGCATTTGTTGTGGGATGTATGAACTCTGCGCTGCACCGATTAATGCCTGCCGTACCCTGATCTGACTTGCTCGGCACCTGCCGCGCCCTCTCTCCTTCCTCCCCACCTCAGTCCGGTGTCAAGAGAAGGTCAAAAAGACCAGGGACAGAAACGAGCGCAGACAGTTGAGAGGACCGATTTGTACCATCACTTGGTGGCTTTCAAAACCACAAATTTTCGGGGGCTGGGGCAATTTTAATGTACCTCAGATTTATGATAGTGAAGAATGCTCTGCGGCACCGTGGTAAAGGACTCCACAGTATTAACTTCACTCGCTTTTCATTGTTCCATCCACCAGCCCAGTCTCCAAGCCGAAGAGTCATCTGAGGCGGGCATTGGCTGTAGGTGTTTGGCGCTGCATGAACCTGCACCCAGACGTGCCACCATTTGTTGTGGGATGAGCGGACTCTGCGCAACCTTAGGAACTCCTGTCGGATCCTAGCATGGTCGCGATGTTGGCCCAGCACACCTTTCGCGTGTTCCCTTGCAAGGGCACGAGTGAAACCTGACGAAACACTCACACCTCATTCAATGCAATTGGACCGTCCCAATGGATCCGCAACACCGATAAGCATGAGTCGTAAGTCGTACTTGCATCGTATCTGCCGACATGTCCTCTTTCGCCTCCAAATGCTTTCATCCAATTGCTGCAACATCATTCAAAAAGTCGTCCGTTATGCGGTCTCAGCTTGCACTGATGGGACATTTAGTGCTATTCAAGGGCTAAGTCAAAAGAAATCAAAGCTGTTAGTTAAAGCAGAACTTCTGTTTCCTGGACGTTGACCTGAATGTCAATCATCCTTCGGTTTCTTCAGATTCCTTTCGGGTTATACTTATGTTGCTAGTTTGTTCGATATTTTTGTCATGAAGTTTGGTCGATGAACTATGAAAATTTTGGAAAATTAATATCAAGAAATCACACTCTAAATATTCTTGAAACCTTAGGACCATGTTATTGTGTGGCTCGTCTTTCACAAATCCCCGTAAATTCCTTAAGTAGTTTTACAGAAATACTCAATAGTTATTTAAAAGATGCAACTAAATATTCGAGGATAAATTCGATTTGCCAAAGTTGTTTCAGTAAAAAACAGTTAGCTGCATGTGAATAAAAGGTCTTAGCCTGCAATAATGCATTCTTTTTAATTTTCTTTTCGATTGCAATGAATAAACCCACAACAAAAAGGTTCCCATGAAATTTAGAGCGCCACAGTAAGTAGATTTCGAAGCGCTTTTTGGTAGTCAAGCCACCTACCATGGAATATCTTGTGCTTAATGCACGTGCTCCCTCTCTAGTCGGTGTTTCTTGAGCTATGGTAAGGCATGGGCAGCCCATTGCTTCAAAATGGTCTGTTTAAAAATATGTATGTATTTGTTGATACTAACGCAGTTTGATACATTATGTTATTTTAGCTTTCGCTGCGCCCAACTCGTTCAATTCGTACAGAAATATTTGAGCTGATGTTTAAAAAGGTTCAGTGAACAGGTCGTATTCCCTGAAGGGGATGCCGGCTGAAAGTAGAATGACTAACCCTTGAGTATATCTGGAAAAACATTCCTGCCGGCTGCCTAACCTAAATTTGAGTTAAACTCGTCTTCTTGGACCCGAAATAAATCAATTTACTGCAGCAGTTATGGTGTTCTACCCGAGAAAAACTGCCAGATTGTTCAGAAAACACTGGCCGGTTTTTCAACATATTCTCTAAAAAATAAAAGTACTTGCCGTTTTTGCAGGTTTTTATACGAAATTGTACAAGCCTAGTAATTAATGCGTATCCTTCAATAACTCTCCTATGATTTCTTTCGAAAAGGAAGAAAGATGAACTGCGACTTCTTTTCTAGCTTGAGTCCCAATTGAGTGATGCTGCCTCCCAAAAATCCGTTATTATCAACAGAGAGTAATGCGAAGCTCTCGCAAGTGATCGGAGAGTACGGACGTGGTCTCAGCGATTCCGTAATGGTGGTGGGATCCCTGAAGATAAAGAAGGTAGACGACAGCCGTGCGCTCTTGAAAATAACCTTTTGAAAGCTACCGTTGGACAAATGTCCAAGGCAAGCGGTGTCAATACTACAACGGTGCCCTTCCATCTAGCGCAGGTCAGTGAGGCAGAAGGGCTCTATAGTTTGGTCTCGCATAAGCTTAATAGAAACCAAAGATTATGGTGTTTTTTATAGTTGTTCGATGTCCTCTCTCCGAAGCTATAATCTTATATTTATTGATCAAATGATGACGCATGAAGAAACGTGGATCGTTCATGATAACCTTAAGCGATCAGGGCAACTGCTTGATCGTGGCGAAGCCCCCGAACATTTCAAGGAACCGAGATTCCATTAACAGAAGACAATGGTGACGGTCTGGTGGTCTGATAGTAGTGTTATTCATTACAGTTTTCTGGACGCTAATGAGAGCATTACAGCAGAGGATTACTGCAAGCCACCCGAAAGAATAAATGTTCGCTTGGGAAAAATTATCTCTGCTCCGCAAAAACGCACGGCCACATGTTGCCAGATGAACACCGCCGAAAATCAACGACTTGGGAGACGAGACTTTACCACATCTTCCATATTTTCCCGATCTTTCACTCACTAACTACCACTTTTCTGAACATCCAGAATAAAACTGAGGCGGAAGCCGAATTCAAAGATTTTTAGCACCAGAGCCTCTAAATCTTTATCGAGCGTAAACAGTCTTCTCTATCGATAGCAGAGACGAACAAATGTCTAGGGATCATAATTTAACTAACTTTAACATGTGCTGCGTGTTACCCTTTCCACGAATAGATGCCAGGTCCTGGAATCGACTAGTGTTTTCCGGAAAAACCCTAATAGAAGACAGTGTTTGTACGAAAGAATAAAGTGATCTAGCTATGTTCACTTTTTAGAAATCGCTTTAATTTATCGGCGTCTAAAGCGAAAGATCAGTCGTATACCGAATGTTCAGATGTAGTCTTTGGAGCTGTCTGGCTCTGGGATAATGTGTCTGTATGATATTAAGCGTCCGCTGTGTGCAGCATCATAGCAGACAGAACAAAAACCAGAGAAAACCAGACCTGTGCAAGCAGTTAGATCACGTGTTCAATCTGCAATTGCCCTGGTAATCTCACGCCTCAAGTTACTCCTGACTGTGATTTGTTGTTAACACTTGTCTACCTCTTTCCTATATGATGCTTATGCGGACGTCTTATCTGATTATTCATTGCCTTGAACTTTGACCTCGCTCGTATGCACTGCCATTCTGTACAAATTCATACCGCTGTGCACTTTCATTCGTTACCTATGTTATGCAGAGACGGGCTGCAGTTGAAAAGCCGTCACGAAATTTATTGGCCCCAATAAATTCTGCTGTGCATGCTTGTTTTCAGAAAAAAAACCGTCAACGCATCCTGCACGGTGACCATTTTCGGTTTAGAATGACGGACCAACGAAATCCGCGGACGGTCAGATGTGGTTATGTAGCCCCACCTGAAGTTAACACACCCCAGCCACCTGTAGTACGGGACCGGTGATAAAAGGAGTTATTACAGGTGGAGTCGGGGAACGCAAAGGTGACGAGGTCAAGTAGTTGTACGCAAAAGAAAAGCCATTGGGAATGAGCGGCTGTACTTTGAGTGGCTGAGAATTAGTATCCCTGACCCCTAACCCTAGCCCCTAGCCCTGACTTCTAACCCTTACCCCCAGTCTTAACCCCTAGCTCCAACCCTAACAGTACTGTGTCCATCAGGTGGGGCTACATAACCACATCTTACCGTTCGGACTTTGAGTCATAAGAACAGAATCTTCATAAACGGATAAAGACATCCCGTATTCAAACAACTGCTTGTAGCCACCGTCTATGAATCTACTCTTTAACAGCAACCCTGATCGCAGATTCCAGTGAATGCAGCGTTCATAGCCTTCACCAGAAGTTGCAGTCGTTCCAGATGCTTTGGTCAGGTCACTGAAATGGGGAGTTGAGCCGGGATCACCAGATTAGCAATCAGTAGTTCTGCTAATCGTGAGCATTCATGGCCGCGTGTGATTAACGTTCCTCAGTTTGGTCTGATTGCATTTTAGAGCATAAGATTTCCTTCCGAGTTCTAGGTGCTGATTGATGCTGAATAAAAAGACAAAAGTGATCATTCCTGTCGTTCGTTGTCAGCCTCCTAGAATAGTTGATTGCTGGTGACCCCGCGTGATTTGGACTGTGGCCACCACAACAAGTCTTTGAGGGCTTTTTTCAGCTGCGTGTGCCTCGAGTAAGACTGGATTGTGAAAGTATTTTTGGCAAATTACATGCTGAAACCAGAAGACAGACTGTTTGATGTGAATTTCATGTCTCGAGCTGTGGAAGCATTTAAATATAGTCTTGAATGTAACGATAACCGGCGGACTATATGAGCACGTAAAATATGCTCATACAGCATCTTATTATCGACAAAGACAAGGGGGACTGGAATGGCCACTTCTGGCTTATTAGCCATCGTCAGTCAGTCATACCCAACCTCAAAGTGTGGAACACCCGAGGCTCGAACTCGCGACCTGTTGGTTTAGAAGTCAACGCCTCTTCTCACCGGGCCACGAGCCCCTGGCCCTGTCGGTTTTCGATCGGAAATATACAATGTTAGGGGACGCTCACTGATCGTTCTTACGAAACTCACTTGTTCCATTGTGCCTTACGGGCTCACTCTCGAGCGCAACCAGCAGCCGCAGAGCGGCGCATGATATAGGCAGAATGGCATTACCGACAAAGACAAGAGAGACTGGAATGGCCATTTCTGGCTTATTAGCCTTCGTCAGACATGCTCATAAATTATCAGGCCAATCTCATGAAATATAAACCGCAACTCCGAATTTTGTGTTAGATTAGAAAAGCTTACTTGAGTGATGTTTGGAGAGTGATTACCATGCAGCATAATTCCAGGATATTTCAGTCATGCCAGGATGTTGACGATGAATGTGCGTAGTTATAGCGCTTTAAAGAACCTGATATTTAAGTAGCATGAATATCCTTACTGATTTTCCGAGCTTTTATGTAAATATATCTTAAAGTAAAGCTGAAAAAAGTGCCCTTTTCATGCTCATCTAGTAGAAATCTACGACTTGTTTAAATTATGTACTGAAAGAAAGGTATTTTCAGACGTTAAAATTCTCCTTTGGTTTCCGAATAATTTTTGTTCGGCTTGCAGTTGCACTTGTGCGTACGGTTTTCAAACAACACCCTACGCATTTTCCGTGAGAGGGCATTAACATACATCTGTACCCTCGGAAACGAAAGTCATAAAGTGCCCATAAAATTTCACAATGAGTTTGGCTCATGTTGTTTACTTCATAAGCTGCAATTATAAATGGGCAGTTAAGTTACTGTATGAATCGGCATTTTACGGTCTCGAAATATGTCATAATTGGAACCTTTGGTAACGATAGGGTGTAGGACCCACAAGTAGGCGACAACTATAAAAATATACCCTGAAATTTAGTGTGACTGTAAATCTCACTTATTATCCACCGTTTCCATTGCTTACAATTTCCTCCCCTGTCGGTAATGCCATTCTGTCTATATCATGCGCCGCTGTGCGGCTGTTGTTTGGGCTCAAGAGAGAACCCTAAGGCACAACGGAACGAACGAGTCCCGTACTATGATCGGTGACCGCCCCTCTGCCATTGTATATTCCCGATCGAAACCGACAGGGCAAAGGGCTCGTGGCCAATGGTTAGAGGCGTTGGACTTCTAACTAACAGGTCACGGGGTCGAGCGTCAGGTGTTTCACACTTCGGGGTTGATTATGACTAACTGACGACGGCTAACAAGCCAGAAATGTCCACTCCAGTCTCCCTTGTCTTTAGTGGTAATACTAGTCTGCCTGCTGTTTTTTAATTGCAAACGCATTTCACAGTGCCATTTGACGTCAAAAATGTACGCACTCACGAGACGGAGTCTAATCTCAGTTTACACTGCGATTTTCACACGCTTTTACGAATACTTTTAATTTCTTTGGGAACATTGGGAGTTAAAATGTGCAAGCCTACTGTCCCTCATGTATACTCCTCATGCTCTGCCCTGTTATAAGGTCAGACTAGCAAATTTTTTTCTAATTTGGATATGCCTCAGCAAGTCAAAGCTTTGAAAACTAGACCACCGAGGTGAATCCGATTCATTAAAAATAAGCCACTGTTTGGTAAATCATGTGCTTAACAGATACTAGATCCTAGTCGTTATCACTGTGCCAACTAACCATTACCTCATACAGTTAACATTGGCAAATTCTCCAGCTGTTGGCGTTATTTTTATTTCCAATTTTCTCCCACACTAAACCGCGCAGGAGTCCAAGCCGAAGTCCAGACACCTGTTTGTCCACTTGATGAAACAATAAGGACCTTGATCATTGGTTGATGTCGTACCTTCGTCAATGAGGCTTCAGCCGGTAGTAAAGGATTCAGAAAATAGTTCATGGCGCAGTTTTGACCCGATACACGTCTCATAGAAAGGAGGCACTTGAAAGACAATCATAAAATAATCTTGCATTTTTTCCAGCAGAAAAGTCGCTCGTCGGAAGCAAGCCTTGAAGACTGGATAGTACTCAATCATAACCTAATACCAGACATTCGTCAAGAGCTCGGACACGGGTTTCGCTAATTCGGTCGATTGCCTGAAGCAGTTGTGATTTTTGGGCTCATACCTGGGACCCAGCGCTATTTGTACGGAGTTTCCAATAGTAATCAACTAGCGATTTTGTCTTTCGCCCGCTGCCACTAAATTACAATCACGACGTGATTGAAGTCATGTACAAGACATACCCCCCCCCCGCAGTCAATCCATTCCACTGCAGAAACACCCCAAAAGGCACGCTTGAGTTACTGAGTGATAACTTGAAAGGTATCATTCTATAAACACTTTTTAACGGAAGGCAAATATGTCTCAGTTCATACTGATAAGTTTCAGTTCTGCTCGAAACTGGTAAATTCATGTGTTACTCTCTAGCAAACGTATTCCAATTCCTCGGGTGCAGGGTCCTATAATTTCATTTTCCGTAGTTAGAAAGATGAAGAAGACATTAGTTTCTATTGTTGACTTCCTCTATAGGGTTTACCCTTTGTTAGTTTTCCAAATTCGAAATCGGCCAACGTGGTCTAAAATGGCGTTTACTGGACTAGAAATCGGAACTGTCCTAATCGAATAAGACCGGCCCCTCACTGGTCTCTTCCGCAGGTCGAGTCGGAGCCCTGCTTTCTATGATAAAACCAAGCTACGTCATTTCAAAAATTAAAGACTTTCTGTCGGCTTTATCACAGTCAAACCCTGATTTCTCTTAAAATGTTGAATGGAAGTCTAAAATTCGTTTTCAATTCCAAAAGATTACTTCAACAAGGTTGTAATGCCAACTACTACGTGAAATAATACTAATATATTTCAGCTATACTAAGATGCCTGCTTTTGAATGAGCTCCTTATCGACGGCATGCGTAAGCAACATTCCGCAAAAAAATGACATTTCAGTTAGTATGAATTTTACCATTGGTTATCGATACCCCTATAAATTCAAGCATGTTTTGTGAAGGGCATGGGCAAAATATTCCTTTTACCCAGCTGGTGGCAGCTTGCACATTTTCCGAACGTTATACTTGAAGAAGAAGCATCTGTCGGCCTTAAAAAACTTTTAATTATGCGATTATTTAGGACCGTGAAATGTCTAATTATACACCATAATACTGGCACTAGTATTATTGCTGATCATAAAGTGAACAACGTACATCATATCCATTATAAAAATTTATGAGCACCATATGTCTTCTTAATAATGGCATATAGAAATATAGAATCTTCCTTGCATGAAAAATATGCAGCATTGCCGATAGAAGCGAACAGGCGAGTCCCAGGTAGCAGTTCAGAAGATGAAGATGCGATCACTGGGACAAGAAGTTTATTGGCCTGACGTTTCGGGTTCTCACTCGAGCCCATCATCAGAGACATTCGCAGATAGAGGTAAAGGTGGCACCAGGAATGCAGTATTTATAGCACGTGGCTGCCGTGGGACCGTATGCGCACTGCAATTAACAGTTCTCACAATCGCCGCTGGGGTCGTAATTGATGCGGCGGTGGCTTGGCGGTCCGAGTCCGAGTTGTTAATTGCCGCGATTTCGTCATTCTTGCTGGACGCTTGTGTGACAATTGCTCGACAAATTGGCCCACTGTCACTGGGATAATTGCTTGCCCACGCCCTCCCCACATGACTGATTCCCCTGCCCAGGGAAAATCTCCGCACGGAATATGGTAACGGGAGGTCATTGTGTTTGTTGATGGATTGCGAGCCTGAAAACCATGACTCGAGCACGTCGCGGCTCACGCTTTGTCGCCCCTTGTGAGGATTTCGTCCTCTTGAAATTTGAAAGTAGGGCCGGATCCCATCGAATGTGCGCCACCTGAGAGTTAGCGTCTCCCCGCCTCACTGCTGCTGCGTGCTCGGCAAGTCGCGTACGGAGTAATCTCCCAGTTTCTCCGACATAATTGCTTTGTCCGCAACTACACCAGATCCGGTAAACGACTCCAGACGTTTCCTGCCGTGGCAGCGGGTCTTTTGGCCTCATTACTTGGCGCCTAATGGTTGCTTCCGGCCTGTGTGCAACACCAACTCCAAGTGGAGTGAGAAGACGACTGACGGCTTCCGAGACGTTCTTCACGTACGGAAGAGCCCGCCAAAATTTGGGGCTATTTGGATTTGGTCTCTGGTGTCCTTTTCGTATGCACTGGTTGACAAAGTTGCGCGGGTAGCCATTGGCTCTCATTACCCGTCGAAGATATTGTAACTCAGCAACCTTGTCTTCCATTTCACTGCAGTGCGTCTCAACACGCCGGTATAGCGCCCTTACGCAACTGCGTTTGTGACTGATCGGGTGGTTGCTATTGAAGTTCAGTATTTGCGTCGTATTTGTCGCTTTCCTGAACACTTTGGTTTTTAGGCCACCACAATCTTTGCGGCAGACGAGGACATCCAGGAAGGCCAGCTGATTGTTTTCCTCCTCCTCCATCGTAAATTGAATGTCCGGGAAGACGGCGTTGAGTTGTTCTTTGAAAGTCAGCACCTGATCCCGTTCGATGACGACGAAGGTGTCATCCACATACCGAGCCCAGAATTTCGGTCTGTGGTGTCGGAAAACCAGCGACTCCAGCCGCTGAAGGACCGCCTCGGCTATGAATCCCGAAATCGGCGAACCCATTGGCGTTCCCTTCACCTGCTCGTAGATTGTTCCGTCGAATGTAAAGTACGTCTTGAGACAGAACTTCAGGAGCTGGATGATTTGGGCGTGTCCGAGGCGATTCTGCGTTTCGTCGTACTTCTCTCGTAGGAGTAGTTCGATTGTCTCGACTGCCAGGTCCTGCGGGATAGAAGTAAAAAGGGACGTGACATCAAAGGAAACCATGATATCGCTTGGCAGGAGACTTACTCCTTTAAGTCAGGCCAATAAACTTCTTGTCCCAGTGATCGCATCTTCATCTTCTGAACTGCTACCTGGGACTCGCCTGTTCGCTTCTATCGGCAATCTTTTTGGGCGCGAAGCGCTCCGATCGGCTCGACGGTGGGAAACCTTTGCCCTTCGAGAGTCGTCAACATATGCGCAGATTCGATTTCTGCACAGGTGTCTCGACAACAATGTGCTGCCGAAGTGCGTTTCATACAAACCTCCGGTCAACACAGAGCTGGCGAGACGCGCAGTACTTCAGCACGGCCGACGAATGATCCGAGTGCTCCTTCAAGACTGTCACTCACGGATTCGCAAATACCGTCAGAGGATTGACCAAGAGGAGGCAAGGTGCTGCGAGTTCATGGGCGAGGACGGCATAAAACTGCTTCAGCAGAGGCTGGCCGAACGAACCCGCGAACATAAAGCAACGCGAGAAGCAGCCCTAGAGAGCAAATTTCGTAAGCTGCCTGCTCCAATGTCATCCAAGAACGACAAACTGGTGCACAACTTGTCGTCAAAGGAGCTGACGGAGGAACAAATGCAGGTTTTACGGTATGAGGCCTCATTCAACACAGCCGATGCCAAACCTGCCAACATGATCGCAGCAGTGGAATCAATCCTCAGCCAGACGGGAGCGACAGACGAAACGAAGAACCTCATTCGACACCAAGTGTCCTCCCTCCTCATGGCTCATAGGCCGCGCGATGTGCTTTCCAAGGTCGAGCGTGATGCACTTAAAGAACTCAGGACCGACAACGACCTCGTTATCGTGCCTGCGGACAAGGGGCGTTCAACGGTCGTATTGGACAGGACAGACTACAATCAAAAAGCCAAAAGCTTGTTGGATGATCGTCAGTCCTATGTGCCATGTGAATCCAACCCCATGAAAACGCTGACACGCGAGATTAACGCGACGCTGTTGGCAATGGAGAACTCAGGTGCAATATCGCCAATCGACCGACGCATGGCGAGAGCACAAGAAACGGCCCTAGCCCGATTCTACGGTCTCCCAAAAGTGCACAAAGAGGGCGCTCCTCTCCGGCCTATCGTGTCACTAAAGGGCACTCCAACCTACGGACTGGCAAAGTGGCTGTTCCAACGTCTCAAGTTTCTGACCTCCGATTCGAACACCACAGTCAGCTCGTCAACGCAATTCTTGGAGAAACTTAAAGGAGTAAGTCTCCTGCCAAGCGATATCATGGTTTCCTTTGATGTCACGTCCCTTTTTACTTCTATCCCGCAGGACCTGGCAGTCGAGACAATCGAACTACTCCTACGAGAGAAGTACGACGAAACGGAGAATCGCCTCGGACACGCCCAAATCATCCAGCTCCTGAAGTTCTGTCTCAAGACGTACTTTACATTCGACGGAACAATCTACGAGCAGGTGAAGGGAACGCCAATGGGTTCGCCGATTTCGGGACTCATAGCCGAGGCGGTCCTTCAACGGCTGGAGTCGCTGGTTTTCCGACACCACAGACCGAAATTCTGGGCTCGGTATGTGGATGACACCTTCGTCGTCATCGAACGGGATCAGGTGCTGACTTTCAAAGAACAACTCAACGCCGTCTTCCCGGACATTCAATTTACGATGGAGGAGGAGGAAAACAATCAGCTGGCCTTCCTGGATGTCCTCGTCTGCCGCAAAGATTGTGGTGGCCTAAAAACCAAAGTGTTCAGGAAAGCGACAAATACGACGCAAATACTGAACTTCAATAGCAACCACCCGATCAGTCACAAACGCAGTTGCGTAAGGGCGCTATACCGGCGTGTTGAGACGCACTGCAGTGAAATGGAAGACAAGGTTGCTGAATTACAATATCTTCGACGGGTAATGAGAGCCAATGGCTACCCGCGCAACTTTGTCAACCAGTGCATACGAAAAGGACACCAGAGACCAAATCCAACTAGCCCCAAATTTTGGCGGGCTCTTCCGTACGTGAAGAACGTCTCGGAAGCCGTCAGTCGTCTTCTCACTCCACTTGGAGTTGGTGTTGCACACAGGCCGGAAGCAACCATTAGGNACGTGCTATAAATACTGCATTCCTGGTGCCACCTTTACCTCTATCTGCGAATGTCTCTGATGATGGGCTCGAGTGAGAACCCGAAACGTCAGGCCAATAAACTTCTTGTCCCAGTGATCGCATCTTCATCTTCTGAATATGCAGCATGTAGTTTAGAAACCCTGGATGCAAGTGTAACGGCAGGTCGGGTTCGAAATTAGTCGGAATTTGAGGATGTTCTTTGAAAACGGAAGATACTCTTTCTTCAAATACAAAATTTGGAGAAGAAAAAGAAGAAGAGGGTTGCCGGCAAAGCAGTAATAAGAGGAATATTTTTGCACTTGTCTTTTTTAAAATGCACTCGAACTTATATAGGTATTAAAAATTAATGTAAGGAATTCATGCTACTTAAGTGGTCTTCTTTACGATTAGGAGCTCATTCGACAGCCTGTGTCCTGCGACAAACGAAATATCCTAGTATTATGCGACAAGATATCTACTTTGCAACCCTACTTAGGTAATATTCCCCAGTTAAAAATGCGTTTCAGAATTTCGGTTAACATTTCTTGAGATATCACATCTACTGTAATATAGTCCCCTCAGATGCTCTGATTTCGGGCCGTCAGTTGATCATCATGTCGTTGAAGTTGCATATGGGCAGAGGTGCTTGGTGCAACTACAGCAAAGCTGGAAGAAAACGTGCTTAGTCGACAAACGAGAATTTCCACATCAAGTTCGTTGGACGAACTTTACTGAGGCCAGAGGTCATACACGCACCTGAACAAGCATTCGCCGCCAGCGTCTCCTCAGCCGAATGATAGCCGTTGGACTTGTTAGGCCCATGCGCGAAGGCCCTGCATGCACCTGGACTTTGTCCGTCCCCACCCAATCAGCGAAGGACGCAGCGTACATCGGCCTCGAACATTCACGACTCCAACAGTCGACCGACAAGAGGCCTTAGGCGTACTAACGGTGGCATGAGTGAGGGGCTACCCCGACGATTGCGGCAACAGACTGTCATCGTGCTTGAAATGTGCAATACGCAACACGTACCAGGCCAGTTAGATCAGTCGTGGCCAAAAAAGTTCAATGTACACATACAGTAGATGGTCTAATTCATGAAATGTCAGCCGGAATTCCGAAATGCGTTTTCGTTTTGAAAAGATTAATTAAATAGGGTTGTAAAATTAATCATCATGTAGCATAATTCTATAATATTTCAGTTACCTCAGGATGCCGGCTTTCGAATAAACTTCTTTCCGGCTGCATGTAACAACTATACTCTGTAAAAATGACTACTTATGTAGCATGCATTTTCTAATTGATTTTCGATGCCCCCAGAAATTCAGTCATATGTCATAGATAACGTGCATAAAAATAATCACGATTTCGCTCATTCGGTGGAGAAATACGTTTTCTTCCAATTTTATACTCGAAGGAAGGGTATAATTCGGTCCTAAAAAAATTTTCTAGTTCCCGAATAATTTTGAACACGAACTGCCGTTACACTTGCATTCAGGGTTTCCAAACTACAGGCCGTATAGTTTCCGTGTACGGAGAACCATAAATTTCTCTGCGGTATTAAGATTAGACCATATGGGGTTCATGAAATTTAGCATTGGATTTGATCCATATTGTTAACTTTACAAGCCACGTTGGTAAATGCAGAGACATGACGCTTTATGAACGGCCATTTCACGGTATTGAAATATCTTGTAATTGGAAATTTTTTCGAAAACCAAATTATACCCTTCCTGTGAGTATAAAATTGGAAGAAGACATAATTTCCTACCCAATAAGCAAAATAATAAATATTTTTATGGATACTTTTCATGAAATATAACTGAATTTTTAAGGGCATCGAAGATCATGCATGCTATATAAGTAGTCATCTTTTTACAGAGTATAGTTTTTTGCATAGAGCTGGAAAGAAGTTCATTCAAATGCCAGCATCCTGAGGTAACTGAATTATTATAGAATTATGCTGCATAATGATAAGTTTTACAATCCTACTTAATAAATATTTTCAAAACGAAAACGCATTTCGGAATTTCGGTCGACATTTCATGAGTTGGCCCACCTACTGTAAGTAGCCAGGTGCTGCTCCTTTGCTCGGATCATAGAAGTTGAGCAAGCGATGTCCTCGCGTTCTGAATATGACTCTAGACCGTGCCTTAGGAGGTCGCCGGGTGATTCGCAATCGAAACGTTTCCGTGTAGCTAAATTGGGTGCAGTCTGTGAGTAGCTGATTAACCCCGGATTGGGTCAATTCCTTGAACTGACAAAAAATGCTCTTGAGCGTGTTTGAGTCAGACCCTAACACTATCCTGCTCTTAAGTGACATGGGAAAAGCTCCCTTGACATACAAGCTGAACATAGTATTCTTACGACGAGGCGCCAGATTAACCTTTTGCTTCTAACTGCCTGGCATCTTCTCTTCATCTGAGATGACTGTTTCAACGCAAGCGTAGTGACATTAGAGGGGCACATATGCTTTCCACGCATGTGTTTAGTCAACCATGATATCAGATCATTTGACTTTTGAATATCTATTTTTATCTGCTTACTGACTTTTTCTGCCAGTCCCCGTTAGACTGGTGACTACCATTGCGATTATCGGACTTAAGCGGCTAGTAATATACAAGTCATCTCTCCAACAGGCCGTTATCTAAATTGTGAGTTTGTACGTTGTCGGCAGTGGTTAGCCGAGCATGATCCGAAAATGCGACCAATCTCTGAGAGATCCGTTTTCTCCCCAGCTTTGTTCCTGATGCGTTAAAACGAACAACGCGAATAAACAAATGACACCAGGCAGTTAAAGGCAAAAGATATTCTGGCACCTGAGTACAAATACTCGTGGAAATCCCGGTATTTGCGACAAACTTTGCTTTCTTGTCAACAACAGGCCCTTTAGCCAACAACGGCGGCGAAAAAAGCGCTAGGATATTTTGTTTC